AGGACCCGGGACATTTGGGCAACAGCCTCGAACCCGTGAATCACTTCAAGTCTTCAAGACTGGACCTGACCCAAACTGCGCTGAACCGAAAAATCGCGTTACACAATCAGGCGGGATATCGTTCGGGCGGTCGTTCAAAATTCGGACCTTCACGTTTGGGAATGTCGATCGATGTTGCCTTGCTTGCAGTTCTGGAGAAAAGTATTTCTCCGGGTAAGTAGAATTCTTCAGTTGCCCAGGTTTTGGCGTTGCAAAAGGCCTAACAAGTTTTTTCTTTCACAGAAAAAGTCGAGCTTGAGGCCGCACAGCAGTTTTTGGAGGAGGCGGCAAAGACCGATCTTGTTCGTCTCCTTCGTCAGCTCAGTGACGTCCTAATCAATCTAGAATGTTCACCGGTAGTACGAATGCAAGCTGGTCTCCAGTTAAAAAATGCACTCTATTCCAAAGACCCGGATATCAAAACTATGTATCAGCAGCGTTGGTTACAGTTTCCTCAAGATGCACGAATGTATATCAAACAGAATGTAGGTCTGCTACATTATTGTGACCGGTGTGTAGTGCCTTGCCGCTCTTGGAACTGAAACAACAGCTCATAGCTCCGCTGCTCAGTGCGTTGCTTACATTGCCTGCGCGGAGATTCCGGCTATGCAATGGCCTGATTTGATGGATCGCCTACTGGAGAATGTTATCAACGATTCAAGTTCAGAAGCCTGCAAACATTCTACTTTGGAAGCTATAGGATACATATGTCAGGACATAGTAAGACTTGTCAGTAGCAATAAACGTGTTTTTGAAGGATCCTACAATACTGGTCAATAAATCCAACAAAATTCTAACTGCAATTGTATATGGCATGAAGAAAGAACAGCCCAGGTAAGACCCCATCTACAGTTAAGCTTACAGCACAGTGACAATGTGCGCCTAGCCGCTACCAATGCGCTTCTAAATTCTTTGGAATTTACCAAGCGCAACTTTGATGTCGATGTAGGTTCCCACGTTCATTTTTTCCATTTCTTAGGACGAGCGTAACTATATAATGCAAGTGGTTTGCGAATCGACACAGTCAACACACCCTCAGATCAGAGTTGCAGCTCTTCAGTGTTTAGTGAAGATCATGTCTTTATACTATGGATATATGGAGACATACATGAAACAGGCGCTGTTTGCGGTAAGCTTCAATGTCCTATTTCCCCTTATCCGGCTCATCCTTTTGTCTTATTTAAATGTTTCTGCTGCTAATTGTCGACTATGTTTGCTGCAAGTTTAGCTTTAAGTATAGTAGCACGTCCATTTTAATTTCCCAGCTGCGATCAACAAACGGTAGTAAATTGACCACGGCAGTCTCAAACATTGCAGTCGCTACTTAGACTGGACGGAGGGGCATTTGCGTCACCGAGTGTCCGAACATATCCTGGTGTCTCAAGAAAACGATGAACCACAAGTTTGAAACCTTTACATTAAATGAGCAGAAAAGACTTGAATCTTTGATAACAACACTTATTCGAACATTCATTGTCACTCCAACCCATGCGTTTCAGGTCATCTGCAACACCCCAAAAAAGTTACTTAAATTTACCGAGGCTCTAACTCTCAAACCCTATCTATGCAAACCACGTGAATGGTTAATCACATTAGCTTTGCCGTTCCTCGTGTTGGTATATCGAGTTGTCCGTTGTGATTAGCGATCTTGTCTTCATTTCACGGTTATCACCTCAGTGACTATAAGAACCACTTTGACTGTAGTATGCACATGCACAGATGCAGCGAAATGGCCGTGGATGCATTCCGCATGTTTCTGACTTATATTTTCCTTCAAAGCGCAAGTTAATGTTTTTTCCCCACAGGGTTTTCCGTGACCCCGCAATTGTGATGGAGTCTTTGTAGATCAGATGGTAACATGGTGTGGGGGGTGGTAA